GGAAGCAGAACCGCGGGTAACGCAGCAAAAGGGTTTGGGGGTGGAGGGCTCCGTAACCGAGAAGGCCACCCCGCAGCGCTCCCCTACCAGGGGGGGGGGGACAGGGTTGAAGAAATTGAAAAGAAATACCATCTTAAAACCTTTTAGTTCACAGTTTCGTCCTCTTAAAATGAATGTTTGGTCTTTTTTTGGTGCTAGTTGTCTCTCTGCATACCTAACTGCTTGGATCCAAAGCTCACCGCATAATACCGTAGTTCCATTGATAGACACGCTGTGACAGGGTAAACTCTTTCAATAGCTCTATCTCAGCTTTGCATAGAGCTACAACTCTGAATATTTTACCACAAACTTGTGGGTCGATGGTGAGCCATTGCTGAAATTTAAGTTGCATTGATCAATTTTAGCTCACGTTATCAGTTCCAAACTGAAAACAAGGATTTTTTGTACTTGGTAAAAGTTTTCAGTACGAACTTCAGATCTCCGCTATTTCCCACCAAAATTTTGCTAATGATAGCTGCATCTCTGAGCTTTTGAATGACAGATTGCTCGAAAGTGAATGTCGAAAAATGATCTAGATATGACCTGGATAAGGCTATGACGATGTACAAGTGCTGTCTTCAGCAAACGTCAACTAACTGAGGGCGGGGTGCTGTTTGCGATGAGTTTCAATGAGGTCGACATTCCCCAAAAGATCAGTTCGAAATGATGGAATATAATATCACTTTAGTGGGCGTACCTACTTTTGTCTGCCAGTGTGAATGGTCTGATCAAATCAGCGGCTTGGGTTAGGGCTAACCCATGGAAGCCCTAATTCAAAAGGTACTCATATCAACCAAATTCAATGAGCATCTCTACCCATATAGGCCTACTCAGTTTTGTTTGTTAAATTCAGATATTACACTTTTGTGCAGTCAAATGAGGATTTTTCTATTCTAAAACCATAGAATATTAGTCAAAAAAGGAGCAAACAAGGTCTCAAGGATAGAATTTTGAGCAAAAGTGCTGTACTAGACAGGAATTTTCACCTGGAAAATATTGTCACTAGAAAGAGCACATTTAGTTGCACACTTGGTATAGAAATCTGACCACGGCACTTGTAGAAACGCTGATTTCGTAAGGCTAACAAAATATTATAAGAGATAGTCAGACCTAATCGGGGTGGTATTTGCCAATTACCGATAGACTGAATCGAATATTCAACACGTTCTCATAGCTGCTGGCAGAGAAAAGAATTCCATGTCAAATGAATCTGCTGTCGACGAAATAGAACCGTATTGTAATGAAATTTCTGGTCAAAAGCTAGTTTTTAAGGCGTTCAGGAGATCTTTTCTATCTTTCTTATTACCTAAGTACTTTTGAAAACAAATGAGATATTTGTAATCAGCTCACTTAATACTATTTCATTATAAAGATTTGTAATAGGACAGTGATAAAAGTTTTTTTTTCGACACCTGAAGGAACCCTAGGTGTGAAAAGTTGGGTTGTGATAAAGTAGAAAATAAAATTTTGAAAAATAGTGAGGGCTCAATGCTGATTCTCAAGATATTTAAAAATAGGTTCAGATTATTTGGGGCTGTCGGTTCGTATTTCGGCGCCACTTTTGACGTATTAGAATGTGCTCAGTGTGTGATAATGAACTAATAAACCAATAATCATCAATTACATGCTTTACTTTATCTTATAATACTTCATCTAACTTTTTCTGTAAAGTAAGAGATACTTCACTTTACTTTACTTTACCTTACTTTTCTTTTCGGGTAAAAGTACGGTTACTTTACTTCATCCAGTAAAGCAAAGTAAAGTAAGTCTAATTTACTTTACTCGTTAAAGAAAAGATACAGTGCCACTCCTATGCCTGACTTACTCCGTAGTTCTTCAATACTGAGAGAGAAGAATCTTTGTAAAGTATCTACCTATAACTCAAATAATTTTTTTTGTTTACGTTGTTGATAATTATCANAAATTGTTCTCTTTCGATCTGCTCAAAGGCCCAGCTCTCAACATTGTTCCGTTTATGAGTTATAGGCGTTTTCCTGAGACCCCCGAAATCAGCCAAAGAACCTCGGACCAAGCCGATATGAGTCAGAACAGAGGTAATCGACTACGCTGAGTCCAATGGCGACGTTGGTTTTTAGTTTCGAAGTCATCTGAAGCTGCTAGGCCAGGATTTTCAAATTTTATTTTTTTGTTATCCCAACTATCGAGTGTCATTATAAAAGAATCCTGGTCCAGTAGCTTCGGATGACTTCGAAACTAAAAACTAACATCGCCGTTGGACTCAGCGTAGTCGATTACCTCTGTTCTGACTCATATCGGCTTGGCCCGAGGTCTTTTGGCTGATTTCGAGGGTCACAGGAAAACGCCCATAACTTATACACGGAACAATGTTGAGAGCGGGGCCTTGAGCAGATCGAAAGAGAACAATTTTCTCTATCGAGTAGCTATATTGCAAGTCAAAATGAAAATAGAAATCACTTTGGAATATCGTTCACAAAAGTTTTGCCTACAACTTACCTGATTGGCTAATAGCTGACCAATCAAATTTCGAATATGTTTCGATGTCCCCCAGTGTCCTCTCTCGAACAGCGAAAACCACAGGTCTCTACAATGTTCCTATGAAAAGTTATTCAAAAAACAGTGGAGCACATTATATTTTGAAACGGATAATAGTATCGATTCGACTTAATCTATTTTATATTATATTAGACATGACTTTGGAACATTTTTGCTCGTTACCTAGTTCCAAGAAACCATTTCAACTAACACACAATCAACTGATTCATCTTGCCATGGAAAATAAAACACCAATAAAACAAATAGTGTCAATTCGTAATGATCAAAAATCAAAAATATTTGATCAGGCACAACTCTGTAATTTGATCAATCAAAACAATCGACCAAGTGCAATACAAAAGTCTACTGATCTTACTCAATCGACTGACGACAGATCACTTCGTATTCAGCAATATGTTTATTTGACTTGCGAACAAATTTTTTCTCTTGCAAAATTTTCTAATATTAAACTTGATCAATTGATAATTTGTACAAAAGAACATATTGATGTAAATATAGAACACTTAAAAAAGTCTTTTGTTGAAATATATTCATATTCGTAGATGATAGAATTTCGTTTTAAACCAGAACAACTAGCTACATTGTGGGATATGAACATAATGACAGATGATGCTGAATACAATGCATCTTTACTAGGATCAATATCTCAATTTATTCTCAGTGATGAACAATTTAGTAGTTTACTTCATTCAGTTTCTACTTCTATTTTTTCAACACATTATAAATCAATAATTATGACGAAGTCGAATTTAGAATCAATATCACCATATGTTCCATTCTTACCATATTCATTGATCCAATCCAATAAATCTATCAATATTATAGAAAGATCAACTGATATGCAAAATCGATTATACTCTCCTCTTGCCGATCAATTGACAGCTATGCATGAACGACTTAAATCAAGTATACAAACTCATATTGAAACAGTTGAAATGGTATCGAATATAATATTAAAACGTAATCGTATTGAAAATACTCTCAATTTTGTTCATCAATTGAGTCTACATTCTATTGATGATATATCTACTAAAGAAGTAGAAACTATTCCATCATACATACTCGACTTACTCAAAATAAACACAATAACAGAGAATATTTATAAGTTAATTAAACAAGGTGAAATAACATCAGATATACTAGAAAAATCCGATAAGCTTACTACAAAATCTAAAGAAATCATTGATCTTATTGCAAGTGGCAACTTAAACAAGACAATAATCGAAAGTATTCAAACTTATGACCTTAATTTTCCTCAAATTTATAAAATTCAAACACAACTACTTACTCCAAAACTCATTGGTAATAAATTTTATTCTTCTTATGTAACTGATTCAATTGTTTACATAAATATGTATTTTAGAAGAATTCAAATCAGGACATCTCTCGAAACATATTCTTGATGCATATAAAAGTCAATCACCATTGCAAATTATCAATAAAGTTCGTTCATCAGTAACACAATTGAATACATTAATTCTTCAACAGTCATCAAGTATTTCTCAGTTAGATACTACAATAGTACCAATCGTACAACAGACAGCAGCACAAAATATTATCACACCTAATAATATATTCGAAGGTAATGAATATGAATACGAAAAAAAACAAATTTCACCTAACGAAAATAGTCAGTACAGAAAAAAAACAAGTTCCTTGAAAAAAGTGTTTCACCTTTCCAAATAAGAAATAGAGATCTGAAAATTCATGTGGGAACAATTTTGTGAGTCAACAAACCTATCATTATGTAGTGCTATATTTCAGCTATCTGTCATGCAAAGGCGGCTCTAACTTACAGGTCAATTTTTGACTAAAAACCCGGATATATGTAGGTTTGTAGAGAAAGACTTCCTCTATCCAACGGTATATATATTATCAAAATTTGGTGCGTATCTGTGAGACGTCCATAGGCGGCGCCACTTTCGCTGCGTTTTGCTATGGTCGCGGCGAAGGTACCGCCACCTATGGACGTCTCACTGATACGCACCGGATTTTGATAATATATATACCGCTGGATAGAGGAAGTCTTTCTCTACAAACCTACATATATCTCGTTTTTTAGTCAAAACATTATAATCGCCTTTCATGAAAGTTTGCCAACCTCTTCAAGAATAGTGATCATTTTACTCAAACCATCGATGTAAAAAAATATATTATCCCTATACTTCAACACTTCCTGTAGATCATGTTTTTCACAATAGATTCCATCGATCTAAATCTATTTTCCACTCAAGTAAATAAAACCCTGATAATGTCACTGATCCTAAGGGAGNATCTGTTAGAAAAACATCATACGTATACAGAGTTTATATGTGCCCATCAACACGTATTGCAAGAAAATATCTTAAATTCGAGAATCTTTTTATTTCATATGAAAATTATACAAATCATTAGTTTTTCAAAGTAAAAATTAATGATTACTAAAGACTAGATTTTTAGTTCGATAGTACAGAAAATTTTTTTTGGATACCTTTCAAAATTGCAGACATCCATGGTCACCTTGATTTTAATTTGTACGAGATAAAGAAAGTAACCTTGATATTTATTTATAAAGCATCTCGAATTATTAAATATCAAAGTAGCCATGGTTATTCGTAACGAACTCAATCTTGTTTTTTTTGTTGCAGCTTTAGCAATGTTCATAGTTTTTACAGGTATTCAGAGTTGCCTTTTTTCTTAAAGAATTTATCTTGTTTTAGTGGCAGATTCTGTACATCTGGAAGAACATTCATATATATATATATGAATAGGAGATTTTTCAATAGTTCTACAATATTGATAGTTTATAATAACAGGAAAGTGTACCCTCATACAAAATCTTTTAAAGTTTCTATGCAAAAAGATTAGTTTTTTTTTTCATAAAACCTCATATGAACGATAGTTTTAATAATAAATAACTTACAAATTTTGTTAAAAAATAAAAACACTATTCTCATTGAGGTCAATATAAAAGCAATAGACCACATGAAAAGTACTTTGATATAAGAAAAGAATATAAATAGCTTACATTCTCCGATGTATCATTAGTTCCATTCTGTAAAACATGACACTGTTCAGACGGTAAGCTGATACCTAAAACAAAAAACGAAAAAAAAATGAAGATTTATTGAATTATTTTCTTTTTTTTTCCCAAACCATCATCAATATTAGTTGTTGTATTATTATTTTTATCAGTTTTTGTCATTTGTATATTTACACAACATGTATCAATAATATCCGCCATTTAATTATTGTTTTTATTTTTCGAATATTTTTGTTTTTTTTTTATTTTAAAGCACCATCAATGGTGGAAAAATATACGGCGATAATCATAGGGATCAACTTTCAACTAGAAAAGAACGGAACAAAAAAAAGAAAATTTTTTTTTTTTACCAATAAATATTCTTTTGTTTTTCAAAATCATTCACCTGTACATGTAAATACTTGAGTTAATCAAAAAAGAATAAAGAATATATTCAATATATATAGTACATCAATTTGATAAAAGTACTTTTTTTTGTGTAGACAAAAAAAAACTGAGATTATATCTTGTTATTAATGTAAGCAAATAAACAAAATGTCAACAATATAGATTGAGAAAGTAAACAATTGAAATTCTTAGTTTAATATATAAATAATAAGAAATAATTTTAATAAAAAAGAAAATATATTATATTGAAATATTTTAATTGAAAAAAAAATATTATTTCAAACATTTTCTTGATGATAGAGGTCAGTATTAATCAATGTTGGGTTTTTACCATTGTGCAATATCTGTCATCAATTACTTTTCATTGCATCATTCATTACTACATAGATATTTATCAACGAATTCAATTATAAATACTGTTGCTTTCGAAGTCAATGATTATTACAGATGTATAGAACTGCATATATGTAGCTTTAAGTGAATCGGAGAAGTCATGCTGCAACTGACTGCTTTTGTTAGTCTAAAGTAGAGATCTGTAGTCTACGCCTTTTTTTTTTTACTCTACCCTACTCTGTAAAACATTTATCCTGAACTGAAAAACTCCGACACTTTTCTACCCTAGCCTTATCTTATGAATTTTTTGTCGCACTCTACTTTAATTCTACTCCAGTTGAGAGACGTTAAAAGTCATAAATAGAAAAATAATATCATGATAGAGATATGCAAAGTAAGCTTTTTTTCGTTCGCACTGTGCTGTGGTTGAGAAAAAAATTCTAATCGTTATCTTGCAAGGTAGTCATGTATATTTCTAGTCAAAAAATGCAATGATAACAAACATAGTAAAGCCAGTAAGTGCATGAACAACTGGCACATAGTCGCGACGTAACTCTTTTCTTGTAATTCGTTTTCACTTGAACTTTGTAGCATGTCTAAAAGACAGATAATTGGTATTCTTATTGAATGTGTACGCATATTTTCTTTTACAAACATAAAAGTTCTTTCGTTTATAATCGTACTATCGAAATCGATTATATAGCACAAAGAAAAAGAGCTGATACATTCTAGTAGTTTTGTTTTAGATTGATAAATACAAAAAACAATGACTACAATCGATAGTATAACCGACGATGTAAGTGAATTGTTGTTGTTTTTTTTCTAATTAAATAATTTATATTTGTAATGATCTATTCTTTAGACATTCTTCGATAAGAAGAAGAAAAAGAAATCTAAAAATCGGATTAATCATGATGCACCATCTGAAACAACAACCACAATAAGTTCTACAGATAATGTGACTGGAGATGGAACCACTAATGATGAAACAGTGGTTGAAAATGACTTAACATACGAATATGTAAGTCTATTCATATTAATGTATTTCAACAGACTTTTAGAGAAACATAATTGAACTTGACTTATGAGAGAATCTATGACGATTAGGAATGCAAGAGGGATAGTGCACCAGTTTTATGTATATCGTTGCACTAGTCTAAATATGTACGTGTAGACTAAAGATGAAAATGGTGAACCTATGATAAAATAACGGTAGTAGTGTTGGATTGTTTCGATTGGAGATGCGATTTCATGAAAAGAGCTGAATTTTATAAAAATAGACTGAGAATTTTGGGAATCGAAAAATCCGAATCTATAAGAAGTTTGCTAAAATTGTCTAGTTGGATTTTCTCATCCGAGAAAGTCTGACGAGAGAACCTCTCCAGATATTTCCTTTCGATTTTAATAATTTTTTGCCTATAGATACTACACAATGTTCTAATAAAAACCCTAAAAAATTTTAAATTTAATTAAACTATCCAGTTTCTCTCTGGAGATTTTCTATTTTCGGAAAGCTCGTATTTTCGAATATGAGTTTTCCTAAAATTTTAGACCTGTAGAAAAAAATTCAATAGTTGAATCAAACCTAAATTCTTTTAGAGTTTTTATTAGTTTTATACATGTACATATAGACCAGTGTAACGCTCTCTCTGTCTGAGACTAGTGCATTAATCTAAAGTGACATTGGTAATTTCAGTTACCGTTGAATCTCTGTTCATGATCTGTGATTTGGAATTATTGTTCTTTTTTTTCTTTCTTTTTGATAGCTGATTAATCGAGCATTTGATGCTATTGATAAAATAAATCCAAAAATGCGAAATCCAGTTAATGACAAATTTATACTTCCACCAGTACAAGTGGGACGTATTGGTACAAGACGTACAGCATTTCTAAACTTTGCTTCAATATGTGCAGTGTGAGTTATTCAATTGTTTATTTTTCTATTGAACAAGAGATATTTATTTTAATTTTCAGACTTAAACGACAAGAAAAACAATTATATGAATATTTTATGGTTGAATTAGGGACAACGTAAGTAACAAAAAAAAAAAACTCTTGTTATTTTCTTTTTTGTCATTTAGAGCTTCTATCGATGGAAATCATGCTTTAATTATAAGAGGACGTTTTCAACCAACTCATATAGAAAATATTCTTCGTTCATTTATTAGTAAGATAGAATCACTTTTTTGTTTTTAGAAAATTTTTGAATTATTTGCTTTGCTTTTTTTTATAGAAACATATGTCTTTTGCAAGACATGTCGTTCTCCTAATACATTATTGGGAAAATCCGATCGTTTAACTGTGATTAAATGTAATGCTTGTCATTCACAATATTCTGTTTCCAATATCAGAAAAACTGTTCAAACTCATAATGGCTCACATTCGACAGCAAATTAACGAATATTTTTGTTGAATTTTTTTTCTTCTTTTGAGAATGATGCGCAATTTTGAGTTTAACTACTTATCCTTATGTATCATAATGTCGAATATTTTTAATAAATTGTGTTTTTTTTAAAGACATATCGTAGGTTGACAAGGTTTTATTTTATATATTATTTCTATGTTGAATATATATTTCCTAGTTTCACTTTTTTACTCTGTTGATGTAGCTATTATAACTAAGATATCACGATTAATTGCGAATTATACTGGTTTTGTCTTATTTCCAAATTCAACCAGTACAAGAGAGTGTAACAGGACGATGGGCATACCTTGTAGATAACCTATTTTGCCCTGCACGTGCAGAAACATAGCAATCTCTTTTTAGGACGCACAACCTACACGTGGAACAGATCAGGTTCAAAATTTTCGGACTTCGACTCTGCCGACAGGATAATATTTGAGTCCGACATGAAGTCCAACCCTAGTCGAACTTCTTTTTTCAAATGCTTCACATGTATAGACCTCAAGATGTGTTTATACCACATGGTTTTCTTGCTCAAAATACTCAAGCACTTCTTAAGCATGAAGAAAAAAGTTTGACTAAGGCAGTTATCTCATGGATTGTGATTCAATTAAGTTCTAGTCTATAAATGAAACTCGTCGTAATTATCCCTTATTATCAATAGTGACGAGAACACTAAATGTCATACTAGGGACTACTTCTTCATTGGAAAGATTGTTTAACTCAACTGGGTCGACATTTACTCAAAGACAAACACGTTTATTATCAACTTAAATTTATAAACATATTACTTATTCGTTCATACGAGATATTTAAGAAAAAGAATTTATCTTTTCGCATAGTCAATCTGTTTATATTGATTTTATTTTAAATTCTGTATTTCTATGTTTGTTTTATTATTGTTTTGTTCACCTTCTTATGAATGTCAAATATTTTTTTTGATTGTTCATTCCATTTCTGCCGGAAACTATGTGATAAGGTTTATTAACTTGCTTATATTGTAAATAATTTTTGTATAAATAGTACGTCTATAATGTTTGACATCGTATTTCATATACAGATAAGTTTTTATTCTTATCAAAAATGCAATAAAAAGATCAGAAGCAGGAGGCTCCATTGTCCTGCAGAGCAGAATAAAGAAAATCGTCCTGTGACGTTTTCGGATTGATATATAATTTTTTATTATCTTGATAAATGAGATATGTTGTTGTATGTCAGTTATATAAGTAACATGGATTACCTATCATTTTTATAATTAACAAATATACTATGCAGAACAATGTCAAATCTATTGGTGATATTTGTCATTCGTGAAATATTCTAAAAATATTGGAAAAGATTTTTTAAAGAAGTTGAGTTAATAGAAAGCCGTACATAAGGCTTTTTATCCGTATAAGAATATCAAAAATTGCTTTCAACGTGATGATAAACTAGTAAAAGCTACTGATTATTTCTGTTTAAATTTTGGTTTGGATATAGCATTAAGAAAAAAAAAAACTTGCCTATTAGTAAATCTCACACATCGTAAAATACTCTCAAAATTTACAGTAGTCAAAATGGGCATTTTTATTACGAAATATGAAGTTTTGAAATAATCTTGATTTTTTAAAATATCAACGATTTTGAACGATCGTGAAGAAAAATAAAGTATTGATGTGCACGATTCATGTTATTGAAGCACAAAGGTATGATTTTAAAAAATATATTTCAACATAATGTTTTTCTATGGCATATAGTGATAAAATCAGTCGATTTTTGTGTCACAGATCATATATAAACAAGATGTTTGTTTCTCATCATCTTCTTAGGTATCTTATTTGATATTCATATCTCTTAGAAATTCTTTAAAAAGCATATGTGAGTTTTACAAAAAAAAAAAAAAAAACACCATACATAAAAAAATAACACATGTATTAATTCACGATTATATAATAAAAAAAAATTCTTTTACAACAATTGATTTCAACACTTTACATCTGACACTCAATATATTGGTTTCATTCATCACAATAAATATAATCATAAAGATAATTTATGAAATTTGTGTTGTATTTTGAATAGAATCATTCTAATAAATCGAATATATGATAACAAGTGACGGATTAATATAAGTATAAAAATACATAAAAATGTAATGAATAAACAAAATAAAACTATATTTACATTTGTGAAAAAAACGTTTGACGATTGATTCGATAAATTTTGATTAATTAATTCTTTATATACATTTGGACAATAGATTTCAGCTATTTGAGCAAATGGTGACATTTTTTCAATTGGTATATTCATTGTCATATGATGAAAATAATGTATTGAATATATACTTGAATTTTTTAATAAAAATTCTATATTTTCTGTTGAACAACGAAAGAATTGTGGAATTTGCTAGAATAAAAAAAAAAAAAAAGCTATTAGTGTAAGGATTAAAATATAAGACACCATGTAGATGCTCTTGCCAATTACAGAAAGATTATTTTATTCTATCTATTTTCAAACACATTTATTCAGTATCTTTTTACTTAATTGGCCAAAATGCAAAAAAGAAATAGTCCATATATTATAATGAGACGTTGTTAATATATACAGTCTTTGATTGGATAGCAAAAACGTCTATGGGGAACGGGAAGTGCATATTTTCTATCCTATGCACTTCAACACTTCTTTTGGATTATGTTTCACAAAAGAAAAGTATATTATTCTTTTTTTTTGTTTTACATCAGAATTTAAAAACAAACATACTTGATAAGATATTGGATAAAATACAAATGATGGTTGTATTTCAATTTGATGACATTTATCTTTTTTATGAATATATAATTGACTTTGATCACAAACACTTTTTAAAGCATCTGTTAATGCTAATGGTCCAAGACAATTCCAACATAATGCATGAAATTGATTTTCAATAGATTCTAATTGTTTATCCATTTGTAAATCTAATACTAAATGTTGTTTTTCAAAAACTAAAACAGCAACATTAACACCATCATTTGTTTCAAGTCCAACAGTATTTGAAAATCTATGAAAACTTTTTAATGGTATTACATCGAGATCAAAATAAATTCCACCATATTTATATAAAAGTGCTGTACGTATAAAATCACTCATGTGTGAAATTGAAAAATAATGTATATATTGTTTACGTTTAGTTTTATTTAATCGCATTAATGATGTTCCAAAATAAATATCTTGTTCATTAAAATGAACAAAATAAATATTATTATATGAACGTAAATGAATATATGAACCTTTTTTTAAATGAATATATTTACTACGCATAAGAACAAATATTATGCCATTAGAATGAAGGCGTGCAGCTGATTCTATTGAACAAGCATGACGAGAAAGTATATCTTCATTTTCAGATGTTTGAACAAAAAATATTTTTAATTTTGTATTTATTAATTCATTTTCTTTTTCAGAAATATTTTCAAGTAATAAATGATTATTAGAATTTTCATTCAAGTTTTCTATTGATCCATCATCAAATTTAACAGTAAATATATTCACAACACCATATAAACTAGCTTTTGATAATTGTGTTACAGATAAATAAACAATGGTAAATATAACTATTCAAAAAAAAAGAAAATAGCGATAATTTATGTTTGAAAATTTAATTATAAATATGAACTTACTGATAAAAATTATAGACCATTTGAAACAATTGCCTGCTCTAGATGAAAACAAAACAAGAAAAAGTTTTTAGTCATTTTCATGTAGGTTTTTTGAGTTAAGAACGAAGACGTGCGGGACCAATGTTTTTTAGTCTAACGAGGAAAGGTCCCCAATTATCCAATCACTTTTGAGTTAGAACCCTCTGCATAAGGTAGACTCCAGTCAGGTATGAAAAACCCCCAAAAGGATAACGGCCCTTAGGCCTTCTGTCCAGAGTTATAGGGATTTTACAGGAATTTCAGCCTATGGCATGATATTTACCAACAAATCGAATGACTATATTTCGAGTTGAGATTTTGCCTATAGACAGGTCTAGTTGTGAGTAGAATGCCCTGAAAATTTCAGCTCAAAATAATGTTTCCTTCCCGAGATATTAAAGTCCCAAAAATCACTCATATCTCACGAAAGATGCTAAAATTTTCTGTTTTTTTGGACTTTAATATCTCGAGAAGGAAATGTTCTATTGAGCTGAAATCTTAAGGGGATTCAACTCACAATTAAACCTGTCTATGGGCAAAAACTCAACCGGAAATATCGTCATTCGATTTTTTGGTAAATATCATGCTATAGGCTAAAATTCCAGTAAAATCCCTATAACTCTGGACAGAAGGCCTAAGGGCCGTTATCCGTTTGGGATTTTTCATACCTCACTGGAGTCTACCTTATGCACACAGTCCGAACTCAAAAGCGATTGGACAGTTGGGGATCTTCCCTCGTAAGTCTCGAGTTCGGTTCCAGTAACTTTTTTTTCCACCAGTTCCAGTTTGGTTCGTGGTTCTTGGCAACTTTTTTTTCAACAGCCCTGATAACTTTCTTCTATTGGTCTCGACCTAAGTAACTTTATTCCATCGATTTCGGTCATAATCCTGATACCGGTAATTTCTTTTATAGTGATAAACTATTTCAGAATTGATTTCTATCGCATCTAAAGAAAATTCTTCAATAGTCTTTCTTTTTTATTTATTAAGTTGACAACTAGCACTTGTTTGCATCAATTTTCTTGAATTATGTTCTGATTAAAATGATTCATTTAAAGCCATAGAATGTTGAATCCTAATTTTTAGTACCAATTAGAACGACTTTTCTTTTTAGTTCTACTCGCAGTAAAGTTTTTTTCTCGTGACACTCGATTCTGGAAACCTTCTAAATTTTTTATTCCACAAAAAAATCTAAACAAGAGTTTAACTATAAGGGAGAAAATGATAATTATATGCTATGTACTTGCGCTTAATGAACTTAATTTTCAATATGACTTCAAATTACATTGCATTACAAAACAGTATAATCACGTAATGATATATTGAAAAATGAGTACGAAACAATTGGAATTAAAAAAAGAAAAACAAGATGATGACTAATTAAGAAATTGTGTAGTTATCAGCATATACAATTCTTTTCAAGCATGATATAGTAAAGAATATGATATTGATATATAAACATTAAAAGAAGAAAGTAGATTTTATAGGCTGAAAAATTCTCAATGAATTTATATTGATTTTCTTAACATTCAACTAACATATACATATACCTGCTATTATCCATAGACTTGAAAATTGAATCGAAGAATTGAATTAATAAGAAGATTATCTTTAAGATATATCTATATATTATTTATCAAAGAATATAATCATGAGAGAATAATTAGCAAATCAATAACCGTATTTATCTCTGAAAATTTCTCTCGAGAAAAAGCAAATTAGTAGAATACGATAATATTTAGTTATATATAAGCGTATATACAGCTTTCATAAATACGACTAATTCTATCCAAATATATAAACTTGTTAACTGATTTTTTTTTTACTTGACGCGACACTAATATAGTTAATTGACTTTTCAAAAAAATTAGATGTCTTTCAAAATCATACGGTGATTCGTGCGAGTTATGTGAGAATCCTGTAGAGCCACAGTTGGATTCATTATCGCCTTGTCATGTTACATCCTCTCATATTATCTTTGTATGTAAGACAAAATATATCTTCAAAAAAAAAAAATTTGTTATATAATTTTTTGACATTTTATGAATAATACTTCATTGATGATAATTATAATCTCGTATTTTTTCAATACGATATTTGATAGATTGAAACATTTTATCTATGATTAGTATCTTCTTTTTTTTGCTGCAGTAAGCTTTCCAAAGTTTTGATTCATAACTAAGCTCATATTTTAATGAAATGAAATTCTGAGAGTAGAATGTTTTTTATATGCTTCCGGCTACAGTAGAAGCTCTAAGAATATCAATTTGACTTCTGTCATATGAAATGCTTTTAGTCGTAATGAATCTCATGTAACAAGATTGGTTTATGAAGTAGCTGAATTCTATAATTATTAACTGTCATAGCTTAAGAGTTATGAATTGCCGCCATTAACCTATGTTATATATTATAGAAAGCCTCAGCCTGATTGATGACCATTGTCAAAAAATAGGAATAGGACACTTATTATAAGATCATGTAATAAATCTTCATCTAAAAAAAAAAGAAGAAGGAAGGAAACAATTTCTTTCTTTTCTATTCTTAAATATGCTTTATGTCAATCAAAAATAGAAAACTTTATTATATTTTTGTTAATTTTCGCTTGATTTTAATTTTATTTCATTACAAAAAACAAATTATAATTTATTTTAATATAAAAATTCGTGAAACAAAAAAGATACTTACTTAAATTTGAGTAAAATCATAATTAATTATTATAATTTTGTTTGTTTTATATCACATAAGTATATCTTGATTCTAATTAAATCAAGAAAAAAAATTGAACTATCTAAACAAATAAAAAAAAAAAAAGAAGAAACACTATGTATATATAAGATAAATCTATTATATTAATACATAACAGTTGAAAATGTCTTAACAGTTGTTGTCATTTATATAAAAGACAAATAGATAAAAGTAACAAACTAGAAAATTTTATTCAACAGCTATGTTATAAATATTACATATGATTATACATTGTATATTTTTCTTAATTTTATTCTATGCATGAACTATTCCATGATTATGCATGAGAAATTTTTACAGAAGAAAAAAAACAACAACAACAAAGTGTACTAATAGATGTCCTTTATATGATTAATACGTCAGGCATTTTACTTCTAGAAGAATTTTAATTCTCTGACAACGAATATGAAGAAAAATGACTAGATAAAAAAAAAATACAAAATTACTTTTTTTCCTGTTTCTCTGGCTTCGTCGTGTTCTTCTTCTTCAGCTTCTTTTTCTTTAGCTCTTCATCCGCCGTTTCTGATATAATTCATCTAACGACTATGCTACTTGACGCGTCTTTTGCTTACGTATATATATGAAAGGAACACGAACAAAATCTCATAGAATGACGGCTCTACACATAAAATAAGATAAAAATAGTACAAAGTTATTACCGTTAAAGCAAAAAAAAAACGAAAGAGAAAAAAAAAAAAATATTAAAAATACAGAAAAATAAATCCGATGCAAAATGGAAGGATTGAGTTAATCAGTTTATTCAACGAGAATAAAAAAAGGAACAAGAATAATATAAAAACCATTTCTTTCTTTCATGTAGAATATTTAACACCAAAAAAACAAGCGCAAGACTTAAATGATTAAGCAAATTCAAATAATAGTTACATATTAGTTATTTTTAGTTAATCTCGTAGTAAAACTAATTGGATGGTTTTCTTTTTGTATTGAATGAAAACGTAATTTCATATTTACATATTCTCGAAAAAAGATTTCGAAAACGATAAATTAGGATTATATTTATTATTAACTTCTTTGGTTGATAAGAAGTATGTAAATGTTATGCGCAAGTCTTGAATGTGTAATCTCAGTCTGTTATATTTGAAGAAATAAAAGGAAAAAAAAAATTTTTTTTTTTTTACTTTTTCAAATTCGTTGTTTAGTTCTATAAATGACGTTCGTTTCATAAAATCTATGTTTGCACGAACGAAGGTTTTGTATTTCTTGCTAAATATATTTCAAAACTATTCTATTTCAATCAACATTTTTTCAATAAATTCATGTTCGTTTTATTTTCATCCTTGATGATATCAAGTATGTTTTTGACATCTTTTCTTAGCAAATATAGAAAAGATTTTTTTACAATGAAATGTATATTATGTAAAGAATTATTTGCTCCAATAGGATCAATCTCAATACATCATATTAAAACAATTTTACCATAAACAGAAAAAGAAAAATATTCGTCTCTATGGTAGAAGATATAAAGTCTTAATATGAATATCATTTATCAATAGTGTTTTTCTGAATAGGAGTTATACCATAATCCGATTGGTCTTAATGGTAGATTCCCGTTTCGTCGAAAGCTTAATTGATTTTCCTGTTTCGTCGAAAAATTAAATTGTAACGAAAAAGAGTATAATCAGAGTGATAAGCTCAATTTCTTCGATTGACTTAAACTGTTTTCCTAAAAACAACCTAATTGATATCCTTATACTAATAATCTGTAGTTTTGCAAAAATATATATATGTGGAGTAAAAAGGGAAAATTCATTTTTTTTTGCTATTTATATTCATTATTACACAAAATGATGCTATCTATTTGTTGAAAGTAAACGTAATAAACCAACATTATGACTTGATACCTTTCGCGCTACACACAAGATAAAATTTTAAACAACTATTTATTGGAAATGTGAAAAATCGTTTATGTCCTGGATGTGATATACAATATAGTTCAAAGCCATCGAGCATGAAGAAATCACATAATGATGATAATAATGAAGTGAAATGTTAAGTGGAAGAATTTATAATGAATTTAAAACGACGTATTGAAGATTCATCACAATCAGTGAAAAAACCTTACAGAGAACAAATAATATCATGATATCTTGAAAAAGTTATGCGATTAATCGAAATAAAAAAGTATTGATTCTTTTCTTTTCTATATTCATATTTTCTCTTAATATAATTTCTTATTTATGTATCTAAATCTACTCAATAATAAGTTTTCATTTTAACAAACTTATCTACAAGTAATTAGGTACTATTCTTGTTTAGTCTGACGAAAAAATCTCATCAAATGATATCATATATTTTTAATTGATTAATTAGAAGTTATTTTTCGAGAAAACGAGACTAGTCGCTATTTCATTTTTGACGAGACGGGAATGGAAGAAAAATAAATTTTCAACGAAACAGGAAAATCAATTAAGCTTTCGAAGAAACGAAACCTAATCATCCAGATCCATTATAAAAATAAATAAATAATTAGTTTCATAAATATATTCTTGAGAAAGTATGTAGAGAGAGTTTTATTATAATAAAATATTTGAATATATTGATAAACAAGTGTTTTTTTGTACGAGGTTTTGATAAATAAAAATTATTTTCAATTAAATAAACACTGTTGAAGGTCTATTCACAGGTTCAGAATATATGAAATATTGTTTTGCAATAGATTTTTTGATATGAGATGCAATTATTAAGTAATAAAAATTATACTATTATTTACAAGAAAAAATAGTTCATGTACTCAAACAAAAAGACTATTTTATCTATTTCTTATGCTGTTTTACAACGAAAACAAAATGACAACACGGAGATTTGTTTGAATAGATATTGCTTGATTTTTTTTTTCATTCGTTTTGTTTATCGACATTCATATTTCCGACTTTTACACTTCGGAGTATGACTTTTTATTTATTTATGAAGGACATTTGATAAAAGCCGCATATACACACATTTTGCATTCGATAAAAGTGCACAGCTAGAGAGAGAAACATTATATTCACTCTTAATTGGCCATGTTTACCTGTCTTCTATGTTACATGTCATGTTTTGATGAGTCATATTTTTTAATTTAGACTACATATAAATGCAAACATTGGTGTGCACGTATCATTAACTGATCGTTGTTACACATTTATTTTTATAACAATATATAGACAAGGTATGGATCCACATACATATGGTCATTTCAACAGAGTTGCAAGAGCTATGAATAATTATGTAGCAGCATCTGCGCACAATTATTATTGGGGAAATGATGCTGATCCAAGAGGATTTTATCAAAGACAGGCACATATAAATTCATATTATAGTTATCCTACTGCTGAATTACCTTCAAGTAGCTTGCAAACTGTTATTCTCAATTTTGCTTACCATTTACGTCAATGGATAGGTTAAAATCTGTGATCTATCATGCAACAAATCAATTCAGATATTATTTAATCAGTTTATTTATTTTTTCGAAGTAAATGTTCAAATTTACATGTAAAGAAAAGGCAATATTAATTATTCATATAAATAATTTATAATTTTTGTTATATTAATAATGAGAAGATAGATCTATATGAAATATATTTATTGAACTTTATGGTCATCGATGACAATTTATCTAATCAAAAAAAGACTATTATAATTTCATATCTTCTTCTCATGTCATTCATTTTTTTTTGTTCCTATATTGTAGATGTAGTTAGACTGTTTGTTTTTTTAATTATTATTGAATAAAAATAAAGTATTGTTAATAATCTAATTAGATTTAATTGATTATGATCAATAACAATAAACCATTTGGCAATTTTCATTAGTTTTTTTTGCTTCTCAGTGATACAATTACAAGATATTTTGAAAAATTTTTAACCATTGTTTTAACACTATTAGTGCTTAATTTACTCGGAAACAATACCAGTTACTTTCTCTCCTTTACTATTATCTTATCATCTAATGGAATGGTATACACGTTTCTTTGCTTCATATCGAATAATTTTCTGGTCTGATGACTTCATATGATTTAATATGTGTGATTTCATAATATTTTTCTATAAAATAATGCCTACATAGAACTGTACACAACAGAAAAATATTTTTATGTATTAGAAAAATAAATTATTGCTCCCATCGATAGCATACACTAATAATACAACAACAAAAAGAATAATTCAAGGCTGATTAAAAAGAAAACCTATGATATTTTTATTAATTGTATTACTTTCGAAAAAAATTGAAATTTTTCAAAAAAAGTTAACATCAAATAATAGTATAAATAAAACAATAATTTAATTTTTTTAAAATTTTATCTTATATTGATTTCAAAATTAAATACTATTTGATATATATTCATAGTTATTGAAATTATATTCAACTATTTTTTTTTTATTACGGCCATGATTATCAAGGTTGAATGTATATAAATAAATTGTTATTTAATTTTGCCTACTAGTCTATTAACTTTCGTAGTTATTTAAATAGCATTCATCTATTTTTTAATTGTAACTTATTTCTTTCGAGCAAAACATGATCAAATTTGAAAATACGTACATGAATAAGAAACCGAAAATTAATTTAGTGTAAATAATATATAACATAATGGTTTCTTCGCAGATCTTTTTTTTTTGCAATTAATTGCTTTTTTTTTTTTGTTTTTATTGGCAAGAAACTGAAGACTTTATTATGGGCACATCCGTTTCATTTTCCGGGTTTCTCAAGAACAGCCCGACCAAAAAAGTTATGAAATTTTCAGGATAAATAGATCTCGACTAGTAAAGTAAAAATTGTCATATACTCAAAATACCCAGATAATTTCTTCTATGAGGTATAGGAAGTGCAAGCGCCACAAATGATCTAAAATTTTTCCCCTTGAAAACTGTCAAAAAACTGATTATTTATGGTGAAATACTAAAATTTCAGCTCAATCAGTCGAAGCACTTAGGAGAAAAAGGAAGAAAACTTCAATTTTTCTCTTGAAAAAAGTTGATTTTGAACAAATATACGAAATAACGTAAAATGACATTTTGTCGATATTACATATTTTTCATTTTTTTTTGTTATGCATAATTATCTATTAATACAGGTGTAAAGTGACTCGGAGGATACATCGCTAACCGATCTTACACATTTTGGCCATGAAATAACTATATTATTGCATATTATTTACAGCCCGGCACAGCTGTAGAACGTGTTTTTTTTTGTATGGGGAATATCGTATGGCGGGTTTTTTAAGAATCTAAATAAACATAAAAAATTTTCGTTCATATGTCATTTCATAAAGAATTCTTGAATATCTTTTTAGATAGAAGAAAATCAAAATCGATAAAAGTGAATTTGAGAAGAGCCAGAAAAGAGAAGGACTACCCTTAAGTCCTTACAGTACAGAGCTGAAAAGTATGAATATGAAGAGAAGAAAGTCAATAGAAAATAGAAAATCATATATTTATATATATATATATACGCGCATTATGAGAGAATTTTCAAAAAATTAAGGACATATGAAATAATATTTAGACTGTTTATACAAATATACAATAAAAACAATTTTTTACCTTTTTACTACGCTTAAAAAAATACAAAAATGTGAGCACTATCAAAAATTCACTGCAAGTCATTACGTCTTCAATGTTATAGTTTAAACTCAATTTGTTCGAAGGCATGGCCGCGCACCAGAAGATAGATGACTTCAACAATGAAAAATGTTCTACGTATCGTTTCGATCTGAAAACTTTCTTTATATATTATTTTCATCTTGTAGTCAAACTTTTCTATAGATATTTAAGTTCACCTAGTCAAACATTAACTCACAGTCTATAGTATCCGATAATTTAATATTTCATCGAGTACGTATGAAAAGTACTTATCAGACGATTGTAAATAAAGAAAACACTTCGTTTAAACTTGTATCACAAATATGATTTAAATCTTGTTATTCTTAACTGTAAATAGTGGAAAGAGAGAAAACAACCAAATAAATAAACGACGAATATAAGAGAAAAATAACACTCTTCTTAACGCTGGTGGAATAGTACCAGCAAAATGAAAAGAATTTATTATACAGATACGTTGTCTGATTTTCATACTTTTTGGAATTAAAGTACCAAAACCAAGATATTTAAATTCGTTTATCCAGAGTATGAAATTTCAATATTTTTTTTTATTGTACAACTGATTGTTGAGAAATATTTGTTTAGAAAAAAAAATTTATATAACAAATAAATCACCTATTGGAATCATTTAATAGTTGTGACCAATATGTTAGAAGTGACTCGTCACAGACATGACAGACGTTGTTCATATATGGTCACAAACCGAATATGAATAATGTCTCATTAAAATATATAAACTATATTTTTATTCAATTTATTGAAGACTCAATGAAAACTTGATAAAGAAATATGTCTCAAAATAAATAGAATAAAACAATTAACCTGTGATTAGCAACAGCAACTACATGGTGTTTTACATTTTAATCTTGCAGAGATTGTGTTAATAGTTTTTTTTTGAAAGTATCTCTTTTTTGATGCTATGGTACTGATAATAATGACATTTTCTTTCATTGGAGAAGTTAGATTCATGAATGAATGTATGCAAACATTTCTATACACATATAATGATCTTTTCGTTGGCATAGCCTTGAGTAAATGTTATATTAAAAGGATATATTCATGACAATCGTTTATCTTCTCGTTGTTCTTTCACCTATCTATGAACTACTACTTCAAATGACATTGAAAAACATGAGGAATTGACACATCGAGATATGTTTAACCCTTCGTTGTTGTCATCGAGTCCAAATGAACCTAATTCACAATTTTTCGTTTAGTACTACGATACAATTTCCTGTTTCGGACTATTCCTCTTGTTTAATCACTAGGCTTTTGTTGATGCATAATATCCATATGAGAAATCAGGGATAGGTCTGAAAGCAGAAAATTGTAGCTATGGGCCATCCTTTTTGTGTACTCAAAAAGTGAGTACAGTCTAGAATCGGTCAGTGTGTCCGGTCGGCCGTTTACATGATAACTGTTCACAATTACATTCGATTGAGCTGAAATTTTGTTCACAGAATTGTCTCATCAATATCTCGGTCAAGCTCGAAGATGAGAAGGATCCATCAAGAAATGGCTGAGTTATCAAAAAAAAAATGGTCATTATTGACCAGACCATCCCTGAGGGAGGGTACAGGGATTTTTTCAAAAAAAATATTTTTCTCAGAATTATTCACAACATATATAAATCGACTTAGTTTTTAACGCTGATTCCGAATCTGATATTAGTTTTATATCAAATCGTAGCTTTCTAAGAAAACATCGCCTGCAAAAAGGTCTCAAAATGCACAAAAACTGCATCCAGAAAGCAAATTCCCTAAATATGTCTCAGATGATAAAAAACAAAGTGAATATACCTTTTCACTTTTTGAAGTACACATAACACTCGGATTTAAATCCGAGGTTTTCGCATTTATTTTCGATATTNTAAGAGTTTGAGGGTAGTGTAACGTTTTTTTATTGAGGACAGATGTATTCAGAACAAGTAAGCAAAACTCAAGTTTTTTTTGTGTTATTACTTTCCACTCAGGAATCATTGGGTTTTCGAGTTGATACTCATGTGAAAGATTGTCTGCCATTGATCATCTATTCCTTCTTGATAAGATTATAAAAGTAAGAATCAATTGAAAGTATTGTAGTTTCTCATTAAAACTGTTTATTTAATTATTTATGTTAGCAGCTAGTTGATCTTCTCCTTTCTGAGTACGTTCCTATGCGGTGATCATGGATGAAAGCAGAAAGAAGTACAAATTTAAGTTACTTGATAGTCAATAGTTCAGAAAACATGGAGAAATAACATATACGGCTGAAACATGATCAATTAGGGAAAGCAATTACTAAATCTTTGCTTGCTGGTACGCCGCCTATGTTCATTCTCATATTCTTTTATTAATGTTGTATCATATTAGTCGAGATTCTTTCAATTTTGAAGCTTATACGTTATTTTACAGCATATCTCGTTATGTTTCCTATGATTAATTGATTGTCCCATGTTATACATTGTTGCATATTTTCTTGATTCTCATGAAACAAATGCACTGACCTTTTGAGTTTATGTCATTAGCCTCTTTTTTTGTCAAGAAAATAATTGCTTCTTCTTGTTCCTATTGAGATTTCAATGGGAAAAGATCATGGAATCATTCATCTAAGAAAAAGAAATATATATTGACTTTTTTGAAATCCTCCTTCGGTTATTGTAAGATCGTCTATGTTTTCTTTGATATCTGCAAATTCATATTTTTTCTACATATCGCTTTTACGATTGTTATTTGTATTATGATATGTATAACAGTATGACACTTTGTTCTTAAAAAAACAACTTTTATAAACCGTCTGACAGATATAAAGTTCTAAACTGAAGAA